AGTCAAAGGATAATTCACTATCCTAAACCTTATAAACTGTTAGAAATTTCAATTTAAGCACAACAGCAAAATCGTGAAGGGAAAACGATACCAGCGAAAGTTTTCAGGCAATTTAAATGGGAGAATTTTAAATGAAAGCACTATGCAAGCAGAAGTAACTAAAGTTGCAGCCAAAGTAGCGCGGAGTTGCAGCATTTTAAACCAATAAACCTAACCCCTGTAACCTAATCCGTGCATAAGAGTGTGTTGTTTCAAAAATGAGGAGAGCAATGGCATAGCATGTCAAGCCAACTTATCCCTTATATTTTGCATAAAATATTGAAAATCCATGTTAAGTGGCACTTAATGCAAATACAAAAAGCCGTAGATGCGGACTGATAGAAACTACCAAAATGGGAGGTGTGCGTTGTAAAGAGGCAAGTAGAGAATTGGGGACGTGTGTGCTATAGTGAAAGAATCTAGCAACTGTTGTGCTTTGCATCCGAGCCTTTGAGTTTCAATGAATTGCGAATGGTAAAGAATTTTTAACGAAACTTGTTGGAAGGCTTGAATACTTTTCGTTGTGGCTAAAGCATTGAAATGCTAATGAAGCTCATTTCGATATTCACCAGTTCAACTCACAACGGTTGAAATACGAAACCAACGAAAGTTTGACGAAAGGAAACGCAGATTGGAATTTTGGATTAAAGAAGATACAGTGTAGTGTACGAATTTTCTTGTATTTTACATTTATTATAGGAAGACTGCAGTTCTCAAGGTTTAACCAACTGCTCAACATTCTATCAGTAATTTGTTTTGCTGCAGATTTTACAGATTAAGAAGATTTGAAATAATTTTATTGTGTCTTTATGTTTACTAATCAAAAATGAATAATACTTTTAATAGATAGACAAGTTTAACACATTGAGGAGAGAGATAGCCCAATGTAATATATTGACATTTTATCAATTTTGCACCAATATTTCTTTTAATTATTATAAAGTATACTCCAAATAAATATAAATTATAAGCAAAGAATACAGTGTAGTTAATTACAAAGGGCAAAGGGCATTCAAGCCATGCCTTTAGTTCAACAGTAGTATTCTCCATGCACTGTCAGTGTATATAAAATAGTAGGTTTTATAAGTAGTCCAATAAAATAGAACACAATGTACGTGATTGCGGGAGTAAGGATGTATCGGCCACAGATTCCATGTGGACCAATTGTGTCTCTAGTGCGTACTGCTTTAATTATTAGTTGCCTACCTCTAACCTCTTTACTTATTATTTTTTTTTCCAGAAATTTATTATGGTTCCGATATCAGTTCCTGGTAGTTTCTTTGTTAAGAATGAACATTTGCACAATAAGTAAGAGCTTGACAGTACGATTATCAAACTCCAGTTTGCATGAACCACGTCTTAGTAGCTGCACGTATCTGCCAGTTAGACAACGTCAGATAAAAAAGAATATAATATTATCGGTTTCGCACTCACTTTAGTTAATTAATTTCCAACTGTTAATTAAGTTAATACTTTTAATACTTTTACTTATTCTTATATTAAGATTAGGCAACCAGATTTATTTAATCTAATATATAACTAAAATCTTTTTTCTTAAAAAAAATTAAAGTTATTCATAAATTTACAGGTAGTACTATATAGATAAGTAACGAAGACTGATATATGTATATAGTTATAGTTCAAGGTTGCGCCGGTGAGTATCAGATCAGTTGCTATAATGCAAAGGTGCAGTGGTATTTCATTGTGCTTTGGTATTTAAACAAAAGATACGCTATATCTACTGATCTTAATCGGAGAAGCGACTAATAGTAGAACGGCCTTTAATGTACTATTGAATGAAGAAAGTAAAGGCTTGAGTTATTTCAACACAAAAAAATGTATATTAAATACAAAACAATTGAAGTAATTAATTAAAAAATAATTTTTTTCTAAAATCGGACATCTTCATTTCTTAGTAGGTCAAGAATTTTAGTTCTTTGTAGATTAAGATTTGAATTTTTTTTGTCTTTTAGTTAATCTATCCAAAAATTTGAGTGATCTCTTTTTGATTAAAATCAAAAATCATTAAGTAAATACCACCGAAGATGGATTTCGATGATGTGGATGAAATGTATTCATGGTTGCAGAAGCTGATAGAATGCGTTTTGTGTGCCATCATTGTAATTTTGGCTGAGTATTCCGTTCTTGGAA